TATTCAACAAAACCTAACCCAAAGCAATTAAAACCAAAACGAATTTAACACAAACCCAAACAATCAAAATATAACCCATTTCACATAATCCCACTGATATTAAAAAAAATAACCATCAACACTACCTTTTCGAGGTCGGCAATCCATTAGAGCTTCAAGGTTGCAAGCAGCTATTCAGAAGACATACCTAAAGGGAGGGGTTTGCGATTCCAAACAGAGAGCAAGAGACCGAATAGGGGGAGAAAGAGACATAACAAAGCTAGAGAGAGAAAAAGTTGTGTTATGAGAAAGAGAGCAAAGAGAGAGACACAGAGTTGCGCTAGAGACAGAGAGAGCCAAGAGAGACACAGAGAGCTGCGTTAGACAGAAACCAAACAAAAAGAGAGCTGTGCCAGAGAGAGAGAGAGAGCTGAGTGACCTAAGAGAGAACAAAATTTCTGAAGTTGTGAAAATTCAGCAATAAGTGGACAATAATTTTATATTTATAGGTGATAGTTGTACAAATATTGCTGGGGGGGTGGTATTTTTAGTTAAGATTATAAAATTGGGGGTATATACCGCTATTTCCCTATTTTTTTTTTAATTTCTTTGGATAAATAGGAAGGGGCCCAAGGCCCAAGGCCCAAGAATAGAAAACTAAGCAGGGAAGGATAAACCCTCTACCAACTAAACATGGGAAATATAGTACCTAATTTTACTTGTTTTTTCATTCAATCCCATCATGGAATTGAATTTGAGCCTCCATTTCTATGTGGGTTTTTGAAAGAAAAGATTTGGATTTGACAAGAAGTCCAAATTTCCTAGGTTTTCCATATTCTCAACAATGTGCAATAAAAAGCAGAGTTCTGGGTGTTCAAAAAAGAAAATAAGAATTAAAATCTCACAATACACAGCCTTAGTAGTTAGCATTGATACATTTTCAGTGGTATTAAACCATAAAATGGGTTTGCGCCATTTTTTTTTAGGGCAAAATGGGTTTGCTGGTAATTGCCAACAATCATACTGTTACTGTACAGCACAGCCTTTTTGCATCTTACATTAGCAAATCGACAGGTCCTTGGTTTCGAAAACTTTACACTCTGTTCATATGTTCTCAACACAAATGTGTTGTAGCACCCAATGCTGAATCGACTATAAATTTGATGATGATCAATTGCATTGCATTCCTATAAGTAGGCAGTTCATCTCTTTTGCAGTCAAACTCTGATAAATTCCGGTCATGCTCATGCAGGTAATTCTTGCATAGTGAACTGAGTTGTTCGAAAAGCACTGCCTATCTTTAAATTAAAGATTGTTCGCTTCAATATAATCTAGATAGGCTCGTACAAGCTGTGATGGGCTCAAAATCAACCCTGGCTTCAGCAAGAAGGCATGGACCCTATCACGTTGACACTGGCTCAAAATGATCCACAGAAATCATGGGAAAAATTCAAGTATCAACAGCATCTGCATGAACCATTCAGGGGGACCGATGAAGCATAGTGATAAAACCGGCACAACCAGCTTAATTTGGTTCCGTGTTGCTAGTTTGTTACCAATAGTCATTGCAAGAACATATGCCATCATGAAAGTGGTGGAACCGGTTTGAGTCTCTCACAAAAATCTCCTTGTGAAGTAAATTTGATGCTAACTTCATGAAGTTATGGCAGTCCACACAGATTCTGATGTTCTTCATTATTTTAATAGCAGTCCGACTACAGTTTGAACTGCCTTCATTCATAATAGCAAATACTAAAGCTAGCTTCTCACTATGATGGTACAATTGCTCCTCTTTGTGTTCCTCTTCCACATCATGCACAGACAAGCTTGTGTCTGGAACATAACCCATTTCCTTTAACCGCACAATCAGTTCTTCTAGCTTGCTGCATATAACCTTCCTTTCTGGATGACGTCGGCCTCCAGATGAAAACTCATGGACCCGATTTCCGATCTCAATCCAGCTTAATCCAGGTTCCTTTTTCACTCTAGACCCTTTCATTTCCTTCCTAACCAGGCCTGCTTCACCAAAGTTACCATCAGAGCAATACATGTTTGACATTTGTACATAACCTAATGAATCCTCTGGTGCTAGCTCCTTCAATCTATTTGCTGCTAACTTGGCCAATTGTGTTTTTCCATGCTTCCTACATGATCCAAGGAGTGCGCTCAAGACTACAGAATCAGGCTCCATTGGCATTCTACTTACAAGCTCTTCAGCCTCAACAATCATTCCAGCTCGACCAAGAATATCAACCATGCAGGCGTAATGATCAAGTTCAGGTACAATACCATACCTCTCAAGCATGGAGTCAAAGATTCGGGTTCCTTCTTCTACCAGTCCAGCATGGCTACAAGCACAGAGCAGGGAAACAAAGGTGGCGGAATCAGGTTTCACGTCCATTCGTGAAAAGAGCTGCAATGCCTCTGTAGCTTGTCCATACAAGGCATAAGCCTTAAGCATTGTGTTCCAAGAAACGACATCATAAAATTCAATTCCATCAAACACTTGCTTAGATAAGGCAATGGAGCCACACCTAGCATAGGCATGGATCAAGGCATTTGCAACTACTGTGTCGCCCTCAAACCCAGCTTTGATCACTTGTGAATGAACTGCCAAGGCATGGCGCTCAGTTGCAAGGCTTGCATAAGCTTTTAAAACAATTGAGAAAGTGTACCTGTCAGGAATTAAGTTCTCCTGGCGTAATTGGCGAAAGAGGAAGAGTGCTTCTTCAGGGTCTTGCTCTGAAAAGGTGGTTATGATGCCAGTCCATGCAACAATATCCCGATGACAACTTGTCTCTGAGAAGAGTCTGTAACAGTCAGCAATATCTCCTCCAAGATCTGAATAAGCTTTAACTAATGCAGTTGCCACTTCAATTTTTAATATAAACCCAGTTTTGATGGTGAGACAGTGCAATTGAAAACAAAACTTAGTAATCCCATTATCATCAAGGCCATTGCTTCTGCACATGGAAGAAAGGACGCTAAGAAGCGTGGCACGATCAAACCCATTCCCGTCGAGGTACATTTGTATAAACAGATGAATAGCTTGAGCTCCAAGTCCACGATACTGAAACCCTGCAACCATGGAATTCCAAGATATGAGATTCCGGAACTCCATGCTCTTAAATACATTCCACGCCTCGTCTTTACTAACATCATAAACACCTCCATGATTACAAATCTTGCTATACATAGTAATAAGAGCATTTGCAACGTAAACACAAGCATCCAAAGACATTTTCAAAGCAAGCGCATGTACCTGCCGGCCATATCCAACATCACTCTCCGCACACGAACTGAGAACGCTGGTGAACGCAAACTCATTGGGTTGGTAGTGCACCAACATGCCAGCAAATAAACGAAAACAATTTTCAGTTTCCCCGCGTTGTGCATACCCTGAAATGAGAGCAGTCCAAGAGACAATGTTTCTTCTAGGCATTTCATCAAACAGTTGGTTGGCGTATTCTAGGTAACCAAATTTTGCATACATATTAATAAGGTGGTTCGTGACAAAGAGGTCAGGTGAGTTGATGGGTTTCTGGGCAACCATGTAATGGTGCAAAGAAAGGCCTTCATGGATGCAATGGTGGCGAGCACAAGCATGGAAGAGAGTGGCGTAGGTTTGATTGCAGTGAGGTGGTGGTTGAAGAGTGTAGAAGAGTGAGAGGGCTTCCTTAACTTGACCACGCGTGGAGAGATCCCGCACTTCGCCGAGAAGATTATTCGTTTGCAAATTGAGGCCTGAAGGCGTGGGAAGGTTGATTGTGCTAAAGGCTCTGTGAGAGATGCGACGCGCACAAGCACATGGGCGTAACATCAGGGCTTCCTTTCCCTTGAGCTGAAAGAGTAGAGATGATTTTCAGGTTCAGAAATTACCAATTGGATCAAAGAAGAAGTGCTCTTGCTCTCGCTCTGGCTGCTGCAACAGTTCCAAGTTTCAGTTTTGTCTGGAAATCCACTGCTCTTCTAAAGGGTTCAGAAACAATGCTGAGCATTATGGGATGGAAAGCTGGAACCAACAATCACTTATTTATTATCACCATCAAAATAATGAATATACCCGAAGAAAATATCTTATCCCTTTATATACAACATTATTTTCAAAGTTTCACAAAAATTTACTAAAGAAAAGGAATTTGGAAGGCAACCCCTTCTTCCTTGCCTTTCTGTCAAATGCGTTTAACATGGACGTAACATGATTATCATCTTCATCTTCTGCAGCTTGAGAATCACAACAATTATTAGGTGGCAATTTGCATATAACTGGCAGGGGAGGGGACCAAGGGCACATTCATGCAATCCTAAGCCAAGGCTATATTGGACGCAGCAGAGCAGTTGCCCTGAATTCATTACTTATGCTTCCAGGATTCAGGAATTCAAGCACGTGCTATATAGATGAAGCAAATAGAATTCAAAGCATGCATGCAACCACCTGACTTTCTCCGCATGGTTAGTAGTTCCCGCCCATTCTGTCCTGCCCGCCTTTCGACCCATGAATTCTTGAGATCGGGTGGTACTTAACACGAAATGATCTGATTACCATCAGCGACCCAATTTGGAGGCAGTTGGATTTGTCCAGAGTTACCTATATTCAACCACTTGGAAATTTCAGCTCCGAGAGAGAGAGAGAGAGAGAGAGAGAGAGAGAGCTGAAGGTATCTCAGAATAACCGACTTAATGTTCCTTCTCAGCAGAATTAGAGCCTTCTTCAGAAGTAGTTCCTCCCTGCAAGGAGATATATATATACACACACAAGGAAAAAATAAGGAGTTAATATTTACTTTTCAAGCAGATGACGGCACATCAATGATGACGAAATTTAAATGAAACACAAAGAACATAGTTCAAGGAAAATTTAAATTCTACCATCTCAAAATGTACTTGTGCACTACATTAAACCATCCAGACTCTCAAATGTAGCTTTATCAACTTCCTGTAGAACAATTTGATGTTGGCCTCCATCAAAACACTGCATAGATGTTTGGATAAACCCTGCAACATCTTGCTCATAAACAAGACGAATCCCACATTTCTGGATCTCCACGCACAGGCTGCTGGTTTCCGATAAACCCCACAATGAACTTGATTCATTTAAATCTGACAAATCTGAAAAATCTGACAAAGAAAACATAGAAAAAACAAAGAAAACAATCAGAATGAACTGGTTTCCGATAAAGCCCGCAGATGAGATACATAGAAAAAACAAAGAAAACAATCAGAATTAAATCTGACAAAGGTGCAACTTTCTTTCCAGTCAAGGAGATATGGTTCCAGTTGAAACTCATGAGTTCGCAATGTGAATCTATATAAGTAATCAGAAGTTTCTGAATCTGATTCACTGTCGGAAACAGCAGGGTGTCCTTTGACTAAGAAAACAGCAGCAACCCCCATCCACTTCTTATTATCTTTCAAATCTGTCCCTCAACTCACTGTTAAACTACTCTCTGTGCATCAACTACGCCACGATAATAATTGTTCTATCCTATTTGATCAATATGGTTTTTGCATACAGGACCAGTTTTCCAAGAGAGTGCTTCTCAAGGGCAGGAGCAGTAATGGATTGTATCCAATTCCCAGTGCATCCCAGCTCTCTTCTCCGTCTTAGGCCATAGCATATCTCGGTCAGCAAATAAAGTCTTCTGTATGGCACAGTAGGTTAGGACATCCTACCAATGACATTGTTCATACTATGCTCAAGTCTGCCAATTTACCTATTCTAGTAGATTCCCCAATGCATGTTTGTCCTCACTGTTTGAGTGGCAAAATGCACCAATTACCATTCTCATCTACCCATGTTAAGGCTTCTTTTCCTTTTCAGAGGGTTCACAGTGATGCATGGGGCCCTTCTCCCTGTAAATCCATAGATGGTTACCAATATGTGGTGATTTTCATTGATGAATACACTAGTTTCACCTGGTTGTGTCCCCTGTTTGCTAAATCTGAGGTCTTTACAAAGTTTACTCATCTTTATGCTTATGTTGAGAATCAGTTTTCTACCTCCATTAAGTGTTTGCAGAGTGATGGGGGTGGGGAGTATATGAGTAATCAATTCAAGGATTTTCTCCTTACTCACAGAGTTATTCATCAAGTTTCGTGTCCTTATACTCCTCAACAAAATGGTCTAGCTGAGAGAAAGAATAGACATTTGGTTGAAACTATGATTACTTTGTTAGCTGCAGCTTGTCTTCCTCAACAGTTTTGGTTTCATGCAATTGCACATGCGGTGTTTCTGATCAATCGAATGCCTAGTAAGGTTTTAGCTCATCAATCCCCATATTTTCGGCTTTTCCATACAATCCAGATATCCAGCATCTTCGAATATTTGGAACTGCTATTTATCCTTGTTTGAGAACCAAAAATTCCAATAAACTTCAACCTCGATCTACTTTATGTGTGTTTCTTGGATATATGACAGGATATAAGGGCATTCTTTGTTATAATGTTCTTACTGGAAAGATGGTTATATCTAGAAATGTGGTTCACGATGAAACTGTGTATCCTTTTCAACCTATCATGGCATCAAAGTCTGTTACTTGTTCAACCTCAACGGGTAATTCTTCTTCTGCACCAGTTCTAGTTCCCTCAGTCTTAGCTTCCCCAAGTCTTCCTCTTCCCATAGACCCTGACATCTCATCTCCTTTAACTCCTCCTGATACATCCTCTGCCCAGGTTTCTTTGCATGTTCTGTCTGAGCATCAGTTAGAGGTGTTATTACCACCAAGTTCAAGGCCTGCCTCTCCAAGTATGAATTCAGAATCTTCTTCCTCTATTTCTTTACCTGAAGCAAACTCTCATTCTATGCAGACTAGATCTAAATATGGGATACACACACCAAAACCTTTTTCCGACTATCATTGTTATAGCACTAGTTTGCTGGATGCTTTAGAGGAGCCTACTAGTTATCGAGTCGCTTCTTACTCCTCATAATGGACTAAGGCCATGCAAGATGAAATCGATGCTCTCCATATGCAAGGAACTTGGGAATTGGTGCCTCATCCAGTGAATAAGAATGTGGTAGGTAGTAAGTGGATCTACAAGATAAAGAGGAATTCAAATGGGACTATAGCTAGGTACAAAGCAAGGTTGGTGGCTCAAGGTTTTAGCCAAGAGCCTGGATTTGATTACTCAGAAACTTTTAGTCCAGTAGTGCGCCACTCTACTGTCCGAATTATTTTTAGCTTGGCAGCCATGCATGGGTGGAAGTTAAGGCAATTAGACATTAAAAATGCCTTTCTTTAAGGAGATTTGGATGAGGAAGTGTATATGAAACAACCTCAGGGGTTTGAAGATCCTAAGCAGCCTCAATCTATTTGTAGATTAAGGAAATCTCTGTATGGGTTAAAACAAGCACCAAGAGCATGGAATGCTAAGTTCATAGGATACCTTCCAGCCCTTGGTTTCAAAATGTCTCAATCAGATCCGAGTTTGTTTGTTAAACACACTGGATCAAATGTTCTAGCTTTACTTTTATATGTCGATGATATTATCTTAACAGGTTCAAGTGATGCTCTCATTCAAGAGGTTATTGATGATTTGTCCTCAGTGTTTGAATTGAAAGATCTGGGGTTGTTGATTTACTTCTTAGGTCTACAAATTTCTTATCCCAGCTCAGGCGGTATCTTTGTGAATCAGTATAAGTATGCCAAGGAGTTGTTAGCTAAAGCAGGTATGACTCAATGTAAAGCTTGTTCCACTCCCTGTAAACCATATTCTCAGGTTCTTAGCACATAGGGTGAATTTTTAAAAGATCCAACATTGTATTGCCGGTTAGTAGGAGCATTGCAGTACCTTACTTTTACAAGGCCTGATATTGCTTTTGCTGTGAACTCTGTCTGCCAATACATGACCGCACCTACAGATTCTCACTTCTTTCAGGTTAAGCGTATCTTGAGATACCTACAAGGTACTCTGCAATATGGCATCAATTTTTCCCCTGGACCTATGCAACTTAGTGCTTTTAGCAACACAGATTGGGCGGGAGATGTTTCTACACGCAGGTCAACTACTGGCTTTGTAGCATTTCTTGGAAATAATCCAATTTCTTGGCAGTCCAAGAAGCAAGGCTCGGTCTCTCGCAGCTCTACGGAAGCCGAGTATCGAGCATTAGCCAATACAGCAGCTGATGTTGTTTGGATTCGTCAAGTGTTGGCTGATATGTATGAGTTTTTGCTTGAGCCTCCTTTACTACACTGTGACAATCTCTATGCCTTAGCTTTGAGCTCAAATCTAGTGTTTCATTCACGAATCAAACACTTGGATATTGATTTCCACTTCATCCGAGAACGTGTCCAGTGTAGAGATTTTCATGTGCAGTATATACCAACTGATGATCAAGTTGCTGATGTCTTCACAAAGGGATTACATGGTCCTGTATTCTCAAAGCATTGTATCAATCTCAGACTGGGTCGCCCAACTGAGATTGAGGGGGGATGTTTGGCTAAAGGTTAGTCAGCTTGGAAGGTTGTTAGCTGATGTGTCATTATGGTTAGATTGTTAGTATAATCCACGTGATTTCTGCTGTAGTATAAAGTCTGTAATCCCATGTGTATTGGATTGATTCAATGAGAAATACAGAAATCAAAAGTAATATTTTCTCTGAATTCCTTTATATGAATATTCTAGAACTCTCTCTGTCTTCTTCCTTCAACTCTGTTAGCAATCAAAGACATCAATACCAGCTTGAGCTATTGCAAGTATATTAAAAAACACTAGATGCATCCATTGCTCCTCTCGTCTTTGATTTCTGCTGTTGGAGGAACTGGAAGCAAAAACAAAGTACTGAAAAAACTGATAATCTCAAAACGCAATTAAAGTCTGATGGCACGCAGAAAACAGGTTTACATAGAGTCTAATGATCTTTCAAGTCAATTAACTAAATTTGATCACAAAGTAAAATTCATTCTTGATGTGCAACCATTTCCTTGTCTGTTCTAGATGGTCAAGCCTCATCTTCTGTGGTTTTCTCTTGCAAACTCTCTGAAGGTTGCTTCTCTTTGGCCTTGGAGGCAGCAGCACTACAATTTCACGGGAAAAAAAAAATTAATTCAAAACTTATTACCAAAGGCGCAAAACATTAATCACTTTTATTAGAAAAAGATTACTAAGATTATCAATATTCTGCAATATGCACATTTTGGTGCAAATTTCAAAAATATTTCTCATTTATTTCAAGCATGTGTGCCTACCCGGCCCAAGAAAACATAAACAGATACATGATAGCGTTATATGATGGGCACAATTGATGAAACGCACCGTATTGGGCCTAGCCTACGGCGTCTGCACTCGTAATCCAGCAAAGACATATATCTCATCGTCATCGAGAAACCACAAACACCGTCTTCAATTCAGCGATTGCGAACTGGGTGCAGTTTGCCTGCAGAATACCGTGAATTTGGGCCCGATTTCGAGAAATGCAAGCCCTGGTTGATCCAAAACGCCCCAGACCTTTACCCGGATCTCGTTAAAGGTTCTATTTTGCACCCAAACCCTAATTTCTTGTGTTCAGTTTTAATCATCTCTTACATGTTTTCTTATCCCCCCCCCCCCCCCCCCACCACAAAAAAAGAAGAAGAAGAAGAAGAAACTCTGAAAAATCGACCTAGGCGGCGCCTAGGCGCTAGGCGGGAGAACACCTCTTATTTTCTTATGATTGCTCTGTTTTGTTTTCTTCACTTGCTATATTTAATAATTTAATTCTTGTTTTTATTTTTGGCAGAGGCTAATGCGAAAGAAGCTGATAAAGTAGCCAACCAGTTGCAGTCTACTGGTATATCTTCTGGTGGAGATGGAGCTGCTTCTTCTTCAGGTAATACTGTAAATATGTGTATAGATGTATGTAGCAGTGTATGTTTGTATTTCATTACCCTCACTATCTCTCTCTCTCTTTCTCTCGGGGTTGGTGGTGGCACTTCAGAATAGGTTCAAAATAGACCTAGGCGGCACCTAGGCGCTAGAGAAGATTAAGAAAAAGGTGAGACTTTTGAAATTATTTGTTTTTGAGGATCTTTAGACTTGGTATTGGCTTTTCTGTAGGAGAGGCAAGAAGTTACTATTGAAGAGGTTATACGTAATAAGCAGAGTATAGCTGTA